TCTGATAAAAGTATCTATTTCACTTAGCTTTCAAAGATAAGTTGCGCGCCTTTTACTTTTCTGTAAAGTTCTTTAAATTTGAGAGGGATGATAGATCGATTTGATCCAAAATAACTTTTGCGTTGGTCATTGTTTCTAATAAAACTTTCAGGTAGGGCATGTTTAAATGCTAGATATATGACTAGGTAACGTGTTTTTGAAAAAAGTGTCGGAATGATGTCAGAAATATACCAAATTATTTGACTTATCTGGAGGTCTGAAATTGAAAACCAACTTCAAATCGCGCGCGGTTATTGTTAAGACGAAACAGGAAGCGTTTACCGGCTTCAAATCTTCTTACTCACAGAAATGTTATCCTCGCTAACTGACACCTATCCGTATAAGAAAGACTGGATCCAGAAAGGAAAAATAGTTGTCGGGTGAAAACTCTCTGAACCTTTTCAATCTTACTACGGTCAATCGCGTTCACAAGAACAAAAATGGGACAACAGTATTCCAGGATAGGGAGAAAAAACAAGCGATTTTGTTGTAACTTTATTTCCAGAAGGAAAAAATTATGTGATATAAAAGCGCATATTTGTGCTTCCCTTGCAGAAATTCGATCCGCATGATACGATAAGGCTAGCTTATTCGTGTAAGTAAGACTCAGATCGTTCATCTTGGATCGTTCTAAGGGTGGACTTTTTCGGAAGATGATGGTCCCGGAAGCTATGCGGGACCAAAACACATGAAACTACATTTGAATGGAGAAAACGCCCTCTGTTATGTGGCACTCAAACCTGAGAGCGTACGCAAGTCTGCGCTGACTTTATCAACGTAACTACTAGCCGTATCCTTAGGAACTGAGTAAATGCACTTAAGGTCATCAGTAAAAATGAAATTTTCCGAGTTACAGAGTACTGTTGAAATTTCACTTATGTCAGGAAAGAATCGTGTAGAAGAAAGACTGAGAATAGATGATTTAGCAATCAGGGGAAGCACAACACTCTCTTGATAATTGAGTTTAGAATACTGTCGGTTCCCGAGGAGTGTGGGTTTTTTAGACGAACAATGTGCTTACGAATTACTTCTTTGGAGAAATTAATGGTACTGATAATATTGACTAAGCGTGGCTAAAACGACGAGACCAGTTCAGATTCCATCGTGGGATGCTTTGCAAAGAATGTATCAAACAATTCAGCCTTGTCAGACTCATCGAGCACAAAGGCTTTATTTTCATCCAGCAATGGGAGGATTTCATGACCTCGTTTAGCAGAGGACCGACGACGGAACTGTTGAGCAACAGATTTTGCAGAGTTTAATTCGCTGAGTGCGCAAGATTCTCTCTGTTTGTCACGAGCAAGACGAATCTTAGACGCTAATTACGCTGAGTGCGCAAGATTCCCTCTGTTTGTCACGTGCAAGACGAATCTTAGATGCTAATTCGAAAATATTTGTGAGGTAATGAACGAGTAACTGTCTTTTCAATGTCTTTAGTCTGGCAAAAGAAAGCGAGGAATGGTGGGGTCCGAAGTGTAGGGCTTGGCATTTTTTATTGGCACAAATTCCAAGATGCTATTTGAAATTGCCGCCATGAAGTCACAGAGTATTTTTACATTGTTTGTGGAGGAGAGAGGTCGCCAGTCTAGTGAGTCCACAAAATTGTTAATTAAGTGAATATCAGTGAGATCAAAATCATAATAGGTACGAACGGTGCTAGCCTTTCTCGTATAGGCAACCGGAAGACAGCAGTGAATTAATGTATGGTCACTTTGGAAGAAGCCCCGCTTATAGTCAGCGAAAAGGGAAGCCATGTCTTTTGTGAAAATCAGGTCTAAAATATAATAATCTCTCCGTTGAGGACAGACCAACTGAGACCAGTTTGAAAAATTAATGATACCTAGGAAGGCCTGAAATCGGGGTGGACAACAGTTCGAAAGCCACTCAATTTCGGGATAGTAGAAATCTTCAGTGATAATTTTAGCATCGAAGGAGGGCTCCGAAACCAGCTTAAATATTTCGAAAAGCTTTTCATCATCTTCAGATGATGAGTTAAGGGAATTATAAATGCGTCCGATAATCGCCTTTTCGGCTTTCTCAGGATTATATCTACTCAGTTGATAAAAATAAAGTGACCAACCCCTATCTGCGCATGGCTATGACTGTGCTACCAACATCAATGATTAAGGATTCCCGACGGAATTCGAAACGTTAGGAGAATAAAACTCTTGTTCCCGTGATTGAATCCTCTTCTTTTGACCAAATAAACTCTAATCTACCGAGTCAAATTTCATCATGAATGTTACGCTATTTCTGGAGTATGCTGTATCTTTAAAGACAGCAGAAAATATCCGTGTATTTCCGAAACTTGACATGTGTTAATCTTGTAGTGCTAACTAAAGTTAACACCCACAAATCGAGCAATATGTGTAAAAGCAACGTTACGCAGAAATAAGGAAGTAGTGTCTAAAATACTATAAACGACGGCGGTATACAAAAGGACTTAAATGGAAAAACGTCAATGAGCAAAATAATGATACAGACCCACATAATTACAGGTGCCCTTCTCTGGCAGTAGTCGTAAATAGATTTGATATCTAAACTCGGACACCCAGCAACACGAGAATTGTGAAGAGGCTTCACTGCAAGGAAGAGCTGAAATGGGGATCCAGTTCCGCGTGTACTCAGCATAATCACACTCCGGACAAGCAGGCCGAGAAGCCCCTTCGCGTCGAAACCGAAGTTAATGTGAAGGTGTTACCTAGCTGACTTAACAAACACAAATATATATGTATAAACACAGGTATGAGAGAAAAATACTTGAAATGAAAATGTACAGGGACCTATAAGCTCATTAATCGCAATGAGAAGATGCCCTATGTCACTCCTGAACACTCATAAACGTTTTTGATCCACGTGTGTAGTTTTTGTGGCAAAACTTTATTAACTTATGTATTGGCGGCATACCAACGCCTTATTAAGTTTGCTCATTTCAACTGCGCGTAGAGATCTAGTGACCGTTTATCTGAATGATTTAAGCCGCTGAAGAATGTGAGTGAAGAAAATGTACGTATAATTGTTGGTGTTTTGGCTCTATATTGTGGTCATTGGTGTTCTCCCTGATTACCGAATCACAATCACAGTGTAGCACTCCGTACTACTCGTGGTCTTGATGAGTCTGGTGCGTGATTTGATAACGAA